ATTTTTACCAATAACACTGATTTATTCACTGCTGGCTTTGATCCGTCTCAATAAAACACCCTTAATTATTAGGGTGTTCAGAAAATAATGTCCTACTTAAAATAAACTTTTTAACTGTGTTTTCATATATTATTATAATAGTTGCACAAAAATATCTTACTCATTCCTAATAATTAAAAATCCTCTTTGTTAATTTTATGTCAATTTTCTTCAGTATTCTGTTCTTAAATATGTGATGCACTCTGTGTATGCACTGGAAAACAGTATTAGGTTGTTCGAAAAATAACGTCCGATTTTAGAATAACCCTTTTAATTGCGTTTTCACATATTATTATAATAGTTGCGCAAAAATATCTTACTCATTCCTAATGATTAAAGTGTTCTCTTTGTTAATTTTATATCAATCTTATTGAGAATTTAACTTCACATTCCTCTCATCTTGAACATGAAAAAATAAAAGATGCATTTACGTTTTTAACATGACTTCAAGCTTGGTCATAATGCTTCTCAAACTGCTGCCAACATTAACACGGCGTTGGGTGAAGGATCTACGTTTGATTGGACAGTACGGCGTTGGTTTCTGAAGTTCCGTAGTGGGGATACGAGTCTTGAAGACCAAAGTGGTAAAGGACACCCATCTGCAATTGAGAAATATCACAGATAATGGGTGTCAGCATTTCATGAATATCGATCAGGAAAATTGGCAAGGTGAAGAAACTCGATAAATGGCTTTCACATGAACTCAATTGAAAAGAGTTCGATGTATTCGACGCTGCATCTGCGAAATTTGAATGGTCCATTTCTTAATGTCGAATAGTGTTTTTTTGTGATGAAAAATGGATCCTTTATGACAACCGATAACGACCGGCTAAATGGTTTGATCATGACGAAGGATCCAAACATTTTCCAGAACAGAAAATTGCCCCGAAATAACATTATGTTGCGAGTCTAATGAAACACCTTTGGCATTATCCATTACAGCTTTCTGGAATCTAACCAGAGCACCACTGCCGAACTTTACTGCCAACAACTGAATGAAATGCATATTCGGTTAAACAAAATGCGATATATATATATATATATATATATATATAAAGACATTTTTATGTTTAACGTTCTTTTTATAGATAAAAGTATTTTAATAAATGCTCTGTTTATGATAAACAGTATTAAATAACATTTACCGGCCTGAATGTCCGAGAAATTTATAAACAGAGCATTTATTAAAATACTTGTATCTATAAAAAGAACGTTAAACATAAAAATGTCTTTAATAAATAAATTGTCGGACTTTGTCCATTTCTTAATATATATATATATATATATATATATATATATATATATATGCACTATGAAATAGACTAAGTCCGACAATTATCATAATATATTTTCTGTTTATATGTTATTTTTATAGCTGCAAATGTTTGTATCTATAAAAAATAACATATAAACAGAATGTAATGTGTGTGTGTGTGTGTGTGTGTGTGTGTGTGTGTGTGTGTGTGTGTGTGTGAAAAGTGGATATAAATATAAATAACTATATATATGTATAATTATATATTATATGCGCGGTACTTATTAGAAAGCGCTCAATATCAGAGATATAGCTAACATATTTGGTTGGATAGATGTGAGTTTGTAACCCTGGGTTTCACAGAAGAAACTGATTACAAAACTGATTAATTTTTTTAAAAATCTACATAAACCCAAATTTTTAAAAACATTAATCAGTTTGTCTGACGATCGCTAAAGCGTGAAATCCAGGGTCAAAAACTCACATCTATCCAACCAAATATATATATATATATGTATGTCTGTATGTATGAAGAAATATAGTCTTAAGGTGTGCTATATTTATGGGATAAAGTGCTCAATATCAGAGATAGAGCGTGTGTAAATATAAAAGTGAACATAGAAAAACAACACTTAATGGCGACAGTCTGTTTCATCAGAAATGAAACAGACTGTCGCCTCTAAGTGTTGACTTCTATGTTCACTTAGATAGATAGATAGATAGATAGATAGATAGATAGATAGATAGATAGATAGATAGGGAAAATCGGTGGGAAAGTAACCCAAGTAGAGCCTAATAAAATAAAATATTAAACTGATGCACAAAAGAGGGCTCAATAATAATATTTATTATTGAGCATATAAATGAATTACATAAAAATGAAACTCAATTGTACCCCCAATTTGATGGCCATTTCGCCTCCGGGTTTATCTCCCTGGGGCTTATCGATGCTAAAACGTTTGTTAAAAATCAATTTTAAGGTTGTCTATTTTTAATTTGAAAAATAAAAATTAAAAACGAAAGAAAGAAAGAAGAAAAAAAAGAGGAAAGTGGAACAAACCACAAATAAGAGGCATGGCATTTGATAGAGAGATACAAGTTTATATATATATATATATATATATATATATATATATATATATATATATATATAATACATAAAAGGTTAATGGTCAGAGTTGAATCAGACAAGGAAATAGTAGTATTAAAAAGTGCTCAAAATGCGTGTGAAAAAATAAAATAAATGTAAAACTAACATGTTGAGCATTTAACTTAAAAAATCTGGATGTCAGTTTTATATATATATATATATATATAATTCAAAACAGGATCTATCATAAACCTGCTTAGAAAGAAACTTTTTGTGAAATTCAAGAAACCTTTTTTGAAACTTAATTTCCGTCTTCAAGGTGTCATCTAACGAGATATCACCTAATTTCTGCAATTTGTTGATGTCGTCTAATATAGACATTTTCGCAACACGGAATAATTGTAGACTCCCAGATGGCTTGTTGAAATTCTTGATGCTGTTCTGAACTTTTATTCAGACAACTGATTCCTTTCAATTTGCGTCATATATACGTAAATTATATCACTCTGCTGACACCGAATATCTTGTGTCATTTGATATTTCTATTCTGCTCACCAAAGTACCCCTAGATGAAACTATTCACATTTGTGCTGACTATTTATATCGATACCCCTTAAAACCGCCTCCCTTTCCCGTTGAGTTGATGGAGATGCCTACTAAATCTGTCTCGTTCAGTTTCAATAATGTTATGTATCGACAAATCGATAGATTATCGATGTGTAGTCTTCTAGGGCCTATTATGGCTAATATTTTCGTAGGGTTCCAGGAGAAACAAATGTTTGATAAGGTTTCCAAACCGTAATATTACGTACGTTAGGATTCCTTTGCCCCCAAATTTTAGGAAGATTAACCTTATCAAAAACTCTTACCTACCGTGCACCAGTGATATGCTCGGAAAGTAAATTGGATGTTAAACTTAGGCAAATCACCGACATTTTTCTCGCAAATGGTTACTCTGAGAGTATCTTTCTGAGTAACATTAAACTTAAAATTTCTAAGTTTAATTATATTAAAACATTTGGTACTCCTACGTGTCCGGTTTATATAAGACTACCATGGATTGGACCTCGGAATCATTCTTTTTACCGATAGGATCTCATCATCTATAATGCACTGTTTTAATTCAGTCGTAGTACATACTATCTTGCAGTACGTTGCCCTCTGTCAGTAATGACATTTTGCCCACCCTCCAACAAAATGTAGTTATTTATCGCTATAAATGCCAGTATGATGGTCACTATGTGGGCAAGACCATTCAATGACGGGATGAGAATTGCTCAACATGTGCCTGGTACTATCCGTAGGCATTCGCCAATAACATCCAGGCATTCACAGATACACGAGTCTGCCATTGGCGAACATTTGTTAAATATGGTTACTTGTAGAAACAACTATTCAGAAGAGTTCTTCTCTGTTCTGCACAGAGCCTAGGTAAAACACCATCTGAATATTCTAGAAGCGGTTGTGATCCACACACAGCGCCCGGCTCTGTGTAGACAGAGAGAAGTCAAATATAAATTGGAATTGTTTGGACAATCATTGATTCATTCTGGATTACCTTTTTTTCTCCTTCCCTCCCCTCGTGTCTTCTTTTAAGATCTTCGGTAATTTAATTCCGATGATTTAATTACTTCTGACGAAGTGTCGGACGAAAGCGCATTAAGTTTTATTTTATCCGATTTTAATCCAGATTATATTTACTGTATTTGATATTAGATTATAATCCTTATTTCAAAACTTGTTTTATTATGGCGTGGTACGAGAAATAACTTTGCTGCTGTTTATCGTCACGTTGCTGTGACAGGATCCGTAGCACTATAAAGTATGGAAATAAGTATTTTTATTGTATCTTAAATTGTACATTTAACAGCGTCTACCGTAAACTTTAAACTTAATAACTCAAAAACGAAGGATTTGCGGACATATGTTTTATATGAACTTTTGTCTTTGTTTTGATTTGAGGAACCAACACCAAAAGTTTGTAAAAGTATTTTTGATACACCCTGTATTCTCTAAATTAATTTTAAAAGCGGGAAATTAGGACCAATAAACTTGTCTCCTGTAAGTCTCCTAAATTTAGTTTAGTTTTGGCTTAAAATGATTAAATTCCCTTCACAGGCATAATGCTCTACTTGACTAGTTTATTAAACATTAAACTAAGTAGAGGCACTGAGAATCCCGGAGAAGCTAACCACGGAATAAGTGTACTGAAGACATATTTTACTAAGATTAACTGAGTCTGTCACAAGGTCACCCATATGTAACATCCTCTAAGAATGGAACTAACTACAGTTGTAAAAATTTGTGTCTACCTTGTGTAAGAGTTGTTCTGTGGCAAAGTCTCCAATTAACATTTTCGATTCATGATTGACTTGGCAGAGGAATTCTCGCAGTAGGCTGTCGTTAGTTTCTGCTGTAGACTGGTTGCTAACCAAGGCTATAGGATACGATCTGTCTTGCTATTTAACCCATAGTTGGGGCACGAGTGAAAGTTCCTACCTTTCTCGAGGGTATATTGCGTGTAAGTGAATGCAACGGACCCAGCTGGAATTCAAAGTTGTCTCTCCGCTTTCTCATTTCGAGACGTTATCCATTACAAGTCCCTGCCCATCCAAGCTTACAGTACTTGGTATTCCCAAGCGGTCACTCATCTAGGTACTGACCAGGCTCAACGTTGCTTAACTTTCGTGATCGGATAAGAAAACGGTTTTTTCAATGTGATATGGCTTTAAAAAAAAACATTTATTACGTTTAATAACTGTATCCGGTTTACTAAAACTCGCCAAATGTTTTGCCCATCTCTTTGTCATCCCATAACTCAACGACAGCAAAATGTGGGTTATTTACATTATTTGAATTCGAGTCAATTTCCTCATCTTTGCTGTTATCCTCACAACGTTTCGAAAGTTTTACCTCGAGCCTTCATCAGTAGAAACACTAACTGAGCAGTACTAAATAAGAACAAAACTAGATATCCCAAGATATGAACAGTGGATCGAAAACAATCAAGCGTTCAGTTCGAAATGTCCTAAATTTTACTTAGATCACCAGATACCTGAAGATGGTCACAGGGCACAATGGCAGAAACGTTATGATAATAACAACAAAGATGAGGATATTGGTCCGAATATAAATAATGTTAACTCCTCATCCCAGAAATTCAGGCAGAAATTGTCGGGTTATCAAATATATATGTCTGCGGACTTGCTAGTATATGTCGTTGGTACAGATATGTATTCAAAGATTTAAAATAAAACCATTGATACGACCAGGGAGAGATTTGAAAAAACAGCGTGAAATTTTTTATTTTTTAAAAATAGAATGTGATAATAAAATGTATAAATGTGTTACACGCCTTTTCTCTCATCCTGAAAAGGAGAACCAGTGGATGTTACAAAAGGCTGTCTTTACTCACATGTCTTACATGTTACTGAGCTAGAGATTATGTCAACCCACGTGGTAGGAATGCCTCTTCTCAAAAACAGCATTTACCCAAACACTGTGTTTCTGTACAAACCGAGCTTCGCTGACTAGTCGTAAACGAACACATGACCGGCCAATTGAGGTGCATGCTAATTGGGGAAGAGGAAAGAAAGTCAGAACGGAAAAATCTTATAGGGTTAATAATGGTAATGGGGGTGATAATATTATTACATTATCACGTCAGGGTCAACAGTTAAGTAGTACTAATAATACGTCATGGTACACTCGTTTATGGGGATTAATAATTTGTCACGTCGAGAATATTACCAGGTAATGGGTGTGCTATGGAAGAAAGAAATATTCTACCGTTTCATTTCCCCCATTAGTGGCATTGTTATATCCTTGATATTATAGCACCTTATTTCACGGAAGGAATGGAATAACTGAAAAAAAAACTACAAACATGCTTTGTTCTCAGAGAAAGTTTTATACACCTAAGTAATACACGAAATTATATATACATATTTGCATTTGTTCGACGCAGAGAAGTTATAACATGTATGCAACAACAAGCAGTGTGAAATGGAAAAAAGAAAAGAGAGAGTTTTACTTGTACTAATTGGGAATTGGAACTGGAGGAGCGTAGATTATCCTGTGTTTCTGGGGAGCCTATATTTAGGATTCGAGCGGACCGGATTTATCTACTATATCAGTAGTGACGATATATTCCGCAAACAGGAAAACGGCGAGTCATGATTTTTCCTCCCCAAATTAAAGACTGCGCGCCGGAGATAGTTTTACTATCTAATGAAGATACATTTCCATAGGAAAACAGCACCGTAGGCTTGTAAGCTGCACCACTTGGAAAAGTGGCTGGCCCGGACAGAACGAACAACTCGTGTGTCTTGACACTAAGCAGTTAACTGACGGACTAGCCCTTTTGGTCACTCTATGAAGTGACCTCACTAAGCGGCCTTCACGTGAACCGCGTGACTTCATGTTGACCAAAAGGAGATAATCGCCTTTGTATCCCTATACCGAGATCACGGAGAATGTCTTCTTTTTTTTTTTTGCGTATTAGTTTTTTGAAAATTCCCCAACTTTGTTTTATGTACAAACTAAATTATTATGTTAAAATGAATACTTACTTTTTGTCCGTCAGTTTAGATAAACCGTATCGTCAGCCTTTTTTTAATTGCGTAAATCAAATGTCTAGACAACAATTTCCGAGCTATAATGCAAAATAATGAAACGTTGCAAATTACTTTTTTTACTAACACTGCTTTTCTGGTCAGTGGAAAATCCAGATTTCAAAAAAATAATCAGGCTGTTTTGTTCACATTTGTAGTACAAATAATGGCTACCAGAGGACATACACGTTTATCTCTAAGCAACGTTTTCATAAAAATATTGTTTTCTGTAATGCCTGTTTTTATTGCTGCAATAAAATTGGTACCGTTTGATTTTGTTTATCACCTCCTTATGGATCATTAATGCTGAAATTTAATTTTCTTGAGAGATTTGAAGTTGATTGATTTGTTTAACGGCATATCAACATCTTATGGGTCATTTAATACCAAAATTTAATTTTGGGGGAGCTTTGAAGTTGATTGATTGATTGATTTGTTTAATGGCATATCAACACTTTAGAGGTCATTTAATGTCGATTTTTAATTTTCTTGGGAGCTTTGGTATTTTTTTTATTTTTTTTACTATTAAAATCTATTGCTAGAATCTTTTTACTATTAAAATCTATTGCTAGAATATTTTATTATTAAAATCTATTGCTGGAATTTTTGACTATTAAAATCTATTGCTACAATTTTTACTGTTAACATCTATTGCTACAATCTTTTACTAGTGTAATATATTGCTACAACTTTTTTAATATTAAAATATGTTGTTAGAATTTTTTTTCAATTAAATTCTATTTCTGGAAATTTTAATTGAAAAATGTATGTTTATACTTTCACTTTGGACGTTCATTATTTGCCATAGCTGGAAACCTAACAAGGGCTACAACTCCAGTTCAGGGTGGAACTGGGGGCAACAGCTATTAAGAGGTGGTTCCACGTTCCACATTCCTAAAAAAAAAAAAAAAAAAAAAAACCATCAGAGACGTTGGTGCCGAATGTAGTTTACCATCTTACTCAGGACGCGGAGACTTTTTTGATAAATCTGTCCTGCAGTTGGTATTTAAATTAAATGTGATATAAAAAGAGTTAATGGCGGTGATAATTTTTCAAATGAAGTAGAATTCGATAAATATATCGTTTAAATCGATGGTCTGTTATTGGGTAAAACTCAACTTTAAGTCTTCTCAGGAATTATCTTAGAATCCCCCTCCACCCAATGTACGATGGATATGTTGAAAATCGCTACAATATTGCAATTATGTTTCAACACTATAAATGTCTCTCCTCGAGTAATGTTAGACTACTGGCGAGTGAAAAATTGATTTAATTTTAAAAGCAAAATACTTTTAAATTATTTTCGTTTTATATATATATATATATATATATATATATATATATATATATATATACAGAGAGAGAGAGAGAGAGAGGGAGAGAGAGAATATTAGTGGTAAATATACACATACATATGCAAAATATATAAATATATATACATACATGCATACACATACATATATATTTTTTGTATAAAAAAAAATTCCAAGAGGATAGAATCCAGGTAGAACTCAATGTCCAGGACAGAGTAAGGATATAATAAAAAGGCTTAAGCACTAATATTAGTGTTTAAGCCTTTTTATTATATATATATATATATATATATATTGGTAGGAAGAAGAAAAAAATTGAAATGGTAATTAGTTGGAGGCCTAATATAATGTCCTTCTGTTTACAAAGGGAAGGCTTTAAAGACAGAATATAGATGGCCTCCAACACTTTTAGGTGGTAATTTGAGTGTGACTTGCTAAGGAGGGTAAAAGCGTCCGCGCTAAAACTAACAGCACAATTATCGCTATTTATAAGGTGTTCTGCGATGGAAGACCCATACGTATTGGTCAGAATGTCCGAAGGAGTGTACTTCCGGTTTCGGATTTTCGCTGGAACGTGTTGTTTTATTCTAGCATCTTGCCTTTGCGTCGTTCTCCCTATGTAGTGCGAACCGCAACTACATTTAAAGGAATAAATTAATGAACTGTTATGATGTGGTGGGAGAACATCCTTACGCATAGACGGAAGGACAGGCTTAGCAGAGAAAACAACACGAGCGTTAGTGGCAAAGTAACGATGTCGAACTGCGGTAGAAAGCTGCTAGGCAAACCTATCACTGATACTACCTAGCCAAGGAAGGCGTAGGTACACAGGACATCTTTTTACTATAGCAGGTTTCACTCTGTTAAATTCAGCAATTTTTTCTTAATAATTACTTGAACAATGCCTAATGGGTAGGCATTTTTGCAGAGAGTAGAAGTAATAAACCTGAGTTCATCCAACTTGATGTCCGAACAGATCATGAGAGCCCTATGAGTAAGGGTCTTAATTAAATTAATTTTGCGTTTCCTGAGACAAAAAGAATCCCAACGGATATACAAACCAGTAAACGTCAGTTTACGGTAAACAGAAGTAATAAAACCTGACGTAGATCTGCTGACGAGTACATCGAGAAAGGGAAGGGATGAATCAACCTCCTTTTCCTGTGTAACTTTCAAGGCCGGATGTACATTGTTAAGGGACGCAAGAAATTAGTCCGCTTTAATCTCGTTACCGAAGAGACAAAAAGTGTCATCAACGCAACGGAAATAAAGGTCAGGTTTATTGGATTTTAGTGGTACACTCTCTTCCTGGAACCCAACAAAGATATTTGCTAAAATGGGCCCCAAAGGGGAACCCATCGAAACACCATCAATCTGCCTGTACATGATGCCGTCGAAACTGAACTCAACTGATATCGTGGCAAATTTCATCAGTTCAACAAACACGTCTTCCGGAATAACAGGCGGAGATAATTGACTACGATACAGGGCATCAGCACATATATCGATAGTCTCAGAAAGTGAAACGCAAGTAAATAAACTGGCGATATCATAGGAACACATAAATTTATCCGTAGGCAAATAACACTGCATAAAACGGGAAAATTCAAATGAATCTTTAATACAAGCAGAGTTATACTGCTTGAAAACCGGTTGCAGTATAGTGGAAAGCCATTTAGCCACACCGTGTTGAGAAGACCCAATCATAGAATAGGTCTCAATGGTGGACCAACTTTATGAGTTTTGGGTAAGCCATAGAGACGTGGACGAATGGAGCCCGAGGGTCTAATCAAGTTTGAAA